GCGGGTTTGAATCGCTTTGACTTTTAAGAGCTGTTTAGGAATATGTAACTGGTCCCACTCGCCAGTTAGGAGCGTGAATGTCAAAAAAAAACAAGAAGCCAAATTGAACCAAAATGATGACAACCCTTAAATAAGATTCGGTTCATGACCCAAAAAAAAAAAAACACGATTATGAACCTGAAAAATGATTTTTTAATATCGTATTTTTATTTTATATTTTCGTATTAATTTATTATTTTTAAAATCAATAATTAAAAATTAAAATTTACAACTCGGTCAAATTCTACATGGTTAAAAGATTTAGTACAAATTAACCTATAATTGTTGATTTTATTTTTAATTAATTTAAACTATTTATTATAGAAAATAAGAAAGTAATCTAAATAATTAAATAAAATATTACACGTGTAATATCTTTATTAGAAAAAATAAAAAAGAAAATTTGTGGTACTTAAAGCAATGTTATAAGAATATAATTTGGAGAGGCAATTAAGAAACATAATTCATTGCAATTATTAAATTAATTATTAGTTCTAATATTAGATAAAACTTTTTTTTTAGTCCAACGCAATTGATTAAGTATTCAAATTAAATTATTAAATTAAATACATAATATATATATATATATATATAAAGGAAATGAAAACTTAAACTTTTAATTTTAAGAAGACAAAATCTTTATAAGATAAAAAATATCATTGTAATAAAGACTCGTTTGTATAATATTTATTTTTCATTATTAAAGTGGTACACAAAGATAGAACATAACGTGGCAAGTTAGACATTAATAATTTCTGAAAGATGCCCTCTTGATTATCAAAAAAAAATTAAGGTTATTATATCTTTATTGTATCAAACAATTTCATAAAAATAATATTATTTAGCCTGAATTAGTTGCAATAATTTGTTGAACCAATGAATTACAATAATTAAATTGGTAGAGAATCCAAAAGAATTATAGAATCTATTGTTAATTTATTAATAATTATATTAACAAAATAGATACAAATAAAATTGATCATTTAATGGTGGTGCATTTGTTGTTAGAAAGTAAAAACGGCAAAGATAAATATAACCGTGTAGTGTGATTAGGGAAGTGACCTGTAATTATTCTCCAGCCGCCCACGTGGCAAAATTAATTTTATATTGGAAACACACGGTAAACCTTTTTCAGCGAGGCAACTTTAGCGAGCAGTTTAGGCAGTTGATAACAGGACTGACTACCCAAGTATTGCAAAGTCGATCCACAATTAGTTATCTGAGTTAAATTATGTATTTATATTATTTTTTTATTTTATTTTTTATTCATATTAAATATTAAAAATTTATTATTTTTTTATTTTTCATATTTTCTACCAAATACAAAAAAGAGAAGGAGAAATTTACCAGAAAAAAAATTACTACCTTACCACTATTATAAATTTTATGGGTTCTTTTATAAATTTTTTAGGTTATTTTATAATTTTATGGTAATTTGTGAACAATTCAAAAAAGTACTAGGATTGATCTTAAGCTATTACAAAAGTTATAAATTAACATAAAAATTTTAAATTTTTCTGTTGCAAGTGAATCACAAACTTATATTAAAACCTACAACAATTATAAATTTTAGAGTTATAATATCAATTTTTTTAATTCCATAATTTTATCTAAAAGAAAAAAAAACTCCTCCCATAAAAATAGAAATTATATCACTCATATTTCCTACCATTTAATCTTTCATTCATCTGACCAAAAACAATCTTTCATGCATCCTAACAAACATATGATAAAGGTACACGAAAAAGTGCTTTGGGGTAGTGGGACCCATTCTTACGTTAACAATACAGCTGCTGCCAAAGCCAGCTGGTCACTCACAGACTTGCCGGACAGTCCTCAGACAAAACGAAACAACCCCAATAGTTTCGCTTCACTGTCCAACTATGACGGTGTTTGTTGTCTACTGTCGGTTGCATTCTTTGTGGGGCCCCACCACGGATTCAGGTTTTTTTTGAGAGATATTGTTCATACTTCACTGGCCAATAGATTGATTTGAGCCGCTTGATCTTTGAAGCTTACCGTGGGGACAAGGGGTGTTGTACTTGTCCCCCCCTTCCAACCAATTTGTCGGTTCTGTTTTGGCCGCATACAACGTATTATGGTACTCCCCAATTCCGAGTGGGACACTACTTTTTTGTCTTGTTCTTCCTCGTAGTCAACTAAATCGGTTTTGATTGTTGATTTTATAATGAAGAATGAGCAGTGGACCGTGGTCCCATGTACCAGTTGCCACAGATAGGTTGTATATTCAATCATCTGCCACCGCTACGGTAAATTGCAAACTATTTCGTTACAGCTATGCTCTGTTTGATATTGTAGGAGTTTGACCAAACTTTTCAAGTATTTTATTTTTTATTAATTTATGCTCTATTTGTTAAGATAAAAAAAAATAGAAGAATAAAAAATTCGAAGGATGAAAAGTTAGAGAGATAAATAAAATATCATATTTGGTAAGGAAAGAAAGTAAGAATGAGAAAAAAATGGATAGATTAACTTTCCTTCCAATTTACCAAAGTTAATTGGAAGAAAATTAGATAGAAAGTTAATTATTTGTGTTGAGATGTATCTTATTTGTCTATATATATATATATTATGTATACATTAATTTCATATAAAAATATATTGATAAAATATGTATATATATATATATATTTTTTTTTTTTTTTAAAATTAAAAAAAAATATTTGTTCATCTTAATTAGGGGTGAAAATTTTCGACTCAACACGATTACACGACTCAAACTTAACACAAATTTTATAACATGAACTTGATTATAACTGGACACGAACTTGAAAATAATCTGACACGCGAACAAGAAATATAAAAGACTCATAATTTTATGACTCAACACGAATCTGACACGACATGACTCGATTGTCAACCCTAATCTTAGCCATCACAAAAAAAAATTAAAAAAAAATAAAAATTAATCATTTTTATTTTTCATCCATCCAACCAAACACAAAGGAAAGAAAGTGTATCATTCCTACTTTTCATCCTTGAAGGATAGAAAGTGTATTTCTCATATTTTCCATTCTTTTTACTTTTCATCATTCCTACCAAATGGAGCATTAGTGTTAATTTTTAATTGGAATTTTAATGGATTTAAGAGTTTTGACGCAAAAAATATTTTAGTTAATTTTGAGTAGTTTAATTAAAGTTAAAATAGGATTTGAGTTATTAGTTTTTTAATATAGGTTTAGACCTTTTTAATATTTAATGTCTTTATTAGTAAGAGAATGACATAACTTTGTTGGCTAATAAGAAGATTGGTTTGGTTTTAACGTGAAACTTACTAATACGTGCTTGTGCTTCGGTTTTCTTCTTTAATTTTCCCTTTGATTAAATAATTGTGTGTGAGAGATTATTTAAGTGTTAGATATTATTTTTTAAGATCCTACAAATATGATAAAAAAAATAAAAAGATAGAAAGTTGGAGGAGTAAATAAAATATTATATTTGATAAAGAAATAAAATAGAAAAGATGAAAAAGTAGATGAATGAATTTTCCTTCTAACTCACAAAAATCAATTGATCTAAAATCAGAAAAAAAGTAGATGAAAAATTAATTATTTGTGTTAAAATGTATTTTATTTGTCTATATATTTTTTGATATATACATATATTGTGTATATATTTTATGTCTATATATTGTTTCATATATAAATATAATGATAAATATGTATTTATATTTTTTAAAAAAATTTAAAATAAAAAAATATTTTTTCATCTTAGTTAGGGGGAAAATTTTCGACTCAACACGATGAAACAACCCAAACTCGACACGAATTTTATGACACAAACTTAATTATAACTCGACATGAACTCAAAAATAAACACGAATATGAACCCGAACACAACATAAAAATAAATAGGTCAATTTGACACCGTACGATTAGTTAAATGAGTTGAGTTAGGTTTGATTAATGTTCGATATGAACCTGCAGTGACTTGACACGTATTTGACACGACATAATTCGATTTGTCACCCCCTAATCTTAGCAAGCACAAAAAAAAAATTATTTTTATTTTCTATCCATTCTATCAAACACAAAGGAAAAAAGTATATTATTCTTACTTTCTTTTCTTGAAGGATACAAAATATATTTATCATACTTTGCATCTTTCCTATCAAACAGAGAATTAGGGGTGTCTGGGTTGGGTTGGTTCATAGGACTAATTATTCGGCCCAAAAAATAGGTTTAAAAATCGATAAATTTAATAGTTGATTCGTCTGAACGCAAGTTCAATGTCTTTTAAGAAATAGTTTATGTTTGCCCCGTGCCCATTATGTGGCCCATTTATCCGCCCACAAAAAAATGATTAAAACTCAGTCCAAGAATCCGGCCGCCTAGCTCAGTTCGCCTGTCCATCCAATTTTTTTTTTTAAAAAAAGTGACCATTGAAAGTTAAAAATACATGTATTAAGTATACATCGTATGTTTTCATGTAAACATACAAGTTTTAGGGTGCATTTTGAATTACTTATGAAATTCAAAAAATACTTTTTTAATAAATGTTTATCAAAAGTGTTTATAAGAAAATTTTTTTTATTAAATAAGTATTGTTTGGATATTCAATATTTAAATTACTTAAATTAATATATTTTGTAAAAAACACGTTTGGATGTGAAAACACTTATTTGTGTCACAATTGTTAATAACATTGCATGCACATATACAAACATACGCTACACATATAATGATACCAAAAGAACATCACCATGTTTAGAGAGACTCGAATCCCAAAAAAAAAGAAAAAAAATTGTAGACAACGCAGATTTGGCAAAGCCACCACATAGACCTCGACATCAGCGCAGCCATGGATGCACAACCCTAGACTCTTCTGTCATCGAACTACCTATCTTCTTAGGCCAGCAGAAAAAAAAAAAAAAACACATTGTCAAAACATGTTTCATATTCATTCTCATCTCTGAAGTGGTATCAACTGAAGTGCTGAACTCAGAATTTCCACTCCCCTTCCACTGGATCATAAGCAACAAATTCACCACCTTGCTCTGCCACCTTCTTGATTAGCATCTCTCTGTACTTATCAACCTTTGGTCCATCTATGTACTGTTGTTTCCCTCTCTTTTTGTCAATGCATTTGATGTTAAGAAGAGCTGCCTCTGCAGGCTTGTTAAGACCTTGCCCCACTGGGGGTTTCTTGCTGTCATCCATATACACAATCGCCTCACGGTTATTAAACTGGACATGGGATTCAAGATCAAGTTGCCGCACATCTGTCTCCCCCAAAAACTTGATGTTGCCATAGCCACGTTGTCCAACCACAAACTCCTTGACACGGCTGTAGAACCCTGGTTCAGTCTTTCCTTTGTTGCCAACTCCTGGATTTGAGGTTCTGTGTAGTAGTTAGAGTGGCGGAGCTTTGGCACTATTGGTTCTACATCAGCTTCATGCTGATGAATACCTGCATCCTGACCATCTTTGCATCCGGGGACTTCAATGCATGAACCTTCCTTTTTGGTGGAATGATCATCACGCATCCCATTAGGCTTAAGGTTGAGTTTGGCTGAAATAACACCGGCTTCACTTGTGCCATTGTCACCTATATTTCCTGCAAATTTGCAGGCAAAAAAATGTTGAATAAGCATAGCCATAACATTAGTCAATTAAATCTGTTTAACTATAAAACATGAACACATAAGGTTGTCTAAAACTATGAATTACTATCTCTGACATATCTTTTATTCTGCAAAAGATCAGAATCGTGTATCCTCTATTATAACACAAAATAAGAGGAGCCATGAAAATGGCAGAAATTTGCACGAAAGAAAATCACATATAGGAATACTTACCATTCTCATACACATGATAATATTTATGATTCAACGTAGGCAATTGCTTTCCATTAGCCCTCAGGGGCCACTGTTCTGAAAAATGAAGGATAAAAGCTCTTGGGTTCTCCCTTGGAACCAATAAAGCATTTCCCTTGGATGTGCTAAGAGTTTCCTCATCACTACTAAAAAATGGCACCTGTACACAATAATCAAACAACAGCATTAATGTTTCACATTTCCATACCAATTTTCTTTTTATTTTTCTTCATTTTTTTTTGGAAGGGGATATTGGATGTTAGAGGAAGGGAGAGATCAGGATTTCAACTTTGTCCATATAAACTGCAACTTGTGTTGTAATTCTCACCTTTGGACCATTGCTTCTAGGGTCATATTTCTGAGCAGACAACCTACTGCGTCTTGTTCGGATAATCAACAACGATTTAGTTCTGACAGAAGCAGGCTTGTCCAAAACCTGTATTGGGAAGAAAAGACAAATGCTTATATGGTGCACGAAAAAAACCCTTAAAATTTCTAGTTTTTCCTAACAACTGTTGCTAAGTAGCTCTCTAAACATGGTGATATTTCAAGTTTTTCCTACTGCGGTAGAAGCCCGTGCACAACCAAAATCTTCTTCCTTCTCACCACTGGCCATCCAGTCTGATCATGGATCAACAATAATTTCCCTTCTGTAGTCAAACTCCTCATTGAGAAATCAGTGGACCTCCTCGACTGAACAGCATACAAAGCCAAAAAGTCTGCTACCCCGTTAGCTTCACAATATATGTGAGACATTCTAGCATCCAAACTCCCCAATATCTCACAAATTCTCCTTAAAACCCTTCTACATTTCCATGGAGTCGCAGCCTTCCCATGAACCATCATCACCAGAATCTGAGAATCAGATTCAATCAGTAAAGGGTAATCCCCCAGCCCATACTGCACCAAATTCAGGCCATCAAACAAAGCCTTACACTCAGTCTGCATGTTAGAGCCTTCCCCATAAAAAATCGAAGCAACAGCTACCATACGACCTTCAGCATTCCTCAACACCTTTTTAAGTAAACGGCTCCCTCAGAGTTAATAACTTTTCTTATGAAGTTCGTTTAGGTATATTAACAAACAGGTAACAGACATGAAAGATGTTACATATATGTCCAAAGAATTAGGGAAGACCGAGTGCATAAACAAGAACTAAGCTAATACATCTAAGCATCAAATCCAACTACGTAGCCTAGACCATTCAACTTAATCTAAGGGCATACCGCATACCCCAATATCGCAGTGAAAAGCAAGCAATCATAAGGTTCAAGTGAAGTAAAGATCACCCAAAGAAAACAGAAGCTAGACGTTGAAACAGAGTTGTCACAAATGAGAATAATCACAAGAACAAACTCACATTGATCAGACTTGAATCTGAATCCTCTGATACACAAGGCTAGCGCGAGGCAGAGATAGAATGGAGAGAGAAAGGAGTCGTCGAGATATCGCCGGTGATCGCCTACCTCTCCGGCATCGTCCTTGTAGTCAGTCACCAAAATGGAAGAAGGGCTGTTGATAGACCCATGGGAGGAGATGAGTTATCGGGAGAGAGAGTCGACGTGTTGGGAGAAAAAAAAAAAATAAGGTAGACATGGTTGGGCGAAGTGATTTTGAATAAGTAAAAGTTATATTTTTAAATTTTTAATTTTGGGCAAATGGTTTTTACTTTTTTAAAAGTATTTTTAATAAGTTAATTCAAACACTATTTTTTTTTTATGAAAACACTTATAATAAATCAAAAATTCAAAAAACACTTTTTTTAAAGTTAATTCAAACACACACTTATAGGGTAGAGTTGTGCAAATTTAGTCAGGATATGTTCATTGTATTGTGATGTATTTTTTTCCTTATTCATAAATAAAATTATTTATTATATTATCTATTTTGATTATATTTTTAATTCAAAAATATAATTTACAAAAATATTAAGTTGAAAACTTTTTAAATGAATATATACAAAAACCTATACAGGGAGTGACGAATTGAGTTACGGGTAGTTTAACCCTATTCGAAGCTTGGCTTAGTTGACCCGATAACTCATTCGAGCAAGGATATTTCGTCAAGGTCG